TTCTATAATCGCACCAATATAAATATTTTTTAAATTATTATGCAATTTCTTTTTGCGATGCATTATAATGGGTTAGCTAGCAAGGCAAAATGCTATAAAATTTTTTGTGCATATGAATACCTCTTACCCGTTGTTTTAAATATGTATTATCTTCCGCACCGTATTAATAGAAGAAAATTTTCGACCAATATTACTTAATAGATTACCTGGTAATATTGATTGTAGAAAGCTTGTTGGTCATCGTCAAGATCAATTGGTGTACCCGAATCTCCGCTGCTTGAACTCGAGGTACTTAGTCTTCGTGAGAACAGCTACGCCATGCAACGTGTTAACCAAGCCGGGAAAAATTATTTACAAGAAATAAAAATAAAAAAATAAACAATTCCACATGAGTATGAATAAAAACGCTAATTAAATTGTTAAATTAATGATATTACTATTATAATTAATTAATATTTTCATAATGAACAATATTTTAACGTAAGCATAATTTATGTATGTGTAATGTAATAAAGTGTTATAAGATAATACCACTTTTAAAAAACATTCAACTAAACATTTTTACATACACAATATATTAATTTTTATATATGTGAAGCAATTTTATGTGTGCTACGATCATATGCAGAATGATCATATATGTACAGCACAATTATATGAAATGATACAAATTTAAATGTGAAAAATGGTCAGATTCAAAAATAATCCGTGTAGCAATTTGCAAAAAATGCTTACATGCCTATCACCTATTAATCACAAGCGTATCTTCCTGAAAAAAAAGTAATTGGCATTACCTGTTCACCGGAAAGCACATGACTCGTCGTTCGAACCTCTTGTGTTACTACTCGTTGTTCCTGTCTTGTCGCACTAGTTGCGGTTGTATGTGCTACAGTCTTTTCCTCTACCTAATATAAAAATAGATTATAACAAAAATAATAATTAGGCGAAATTAAAAGAGCAAAGAATAAAATAAAATATATATAAATATATATGAACACATCTTACATAAAAACTACTTCTATTGTATGCAGCACAGGCATCAATTCGTATTAATATTCTACAAAATGATACTAATAATCAATCCAAATCATTACAAACCTGGCTGGTCTTCTGATTCTTTTCAAGATCCTCATGCATCGTAGCGGTACGTGTAGTGACAGCTGTCGCTGTCATATATGGAGTTCTACCATCATCTGGTGCTTCCGCCTAAATTACAACTACCATGTAACTAAGATACATACTCAAAACATATATAACTAATGTAAATAATAATTGGAAGAGATAGCGAAAACACGAATCAATGAATAAGAAAATGATCTTTTATGCGCTTTATTATATTTTATGATGTGAGAAATCATTTCGCTTTATTATATTTTATGATGTGAGAAGAATCATCTACCGCGCAATTAAGTTTGCTATTTATATAATTGACGTAAAATTCTTCAAATAACTGAATGATAATATAAATTTTACAAGAAGAATATTTGATATAGAGCTTCTTTATTAAACATTTATCACAAAATGTTGAAGTCTTGTGTTTATCATTATTATCCTCATCCTAGACAAATCTATGATTCAATTTCGTGCAATATATTTTAATAATAATAAAAAAAAAAATATTTTGTATGAGTTATCAAAAAAATTATCCTATTTGATTTATCAACATGCAGGGTATTTGTTCGTTCGTTATGATGTCTGTTATGTTAAATGTAATGATTTGTGAAAAGATGAATCTTAATGTGCCAAAGTTAGTTTTTTATTCTTTCCAAGAGCATCACCTTGTTGACGTGAGTAGAGACCGTGACTTGACCTGTACCACCGGGTGTAAGATCCTCGATCTTTTCCTGAATATTTTGCGTCACACCTTCCTGATCCTTAACTACCGATTGCTTGGTCGTCGTTTTTACGATCGTTGGTATTACGGCTGGAACCGCGGGTCTCTTTAATTTCGTAGGACTGGATTTTAATGGATCCTGTAAGTCCTTCAGAATCGTCGTACTATCCATCGGTTGGCCGTTGTTTTCGTATATCACTCCGTCTTTCACATACGAACCATCCTCGCCGAAAAGTTCCTGATTATACGGTTTCCCGAATTTATCGTATATCTTGCCGTCTTTAACGAAACCACCGTCAGTACCAAACGGTGCTCGTAAGATTGGTTTTCCATCTTTGTCACATACCAGACCTCTGTGCACCATTGTGATCGTAATAGTCGTAAAATGTTTGTCGAGCGGTTTTCCAGTAGGTGCGCAAATTATTCCATCCTTGACGACATTTCCTTCATCATCGAAGCTCATCTGTTTTATCGGTTTTCCAGTTTTATCTACCACGATTCCCTGTATAACTTTCAAACCTTCCGGCCCGAATGCCTCTTGCGTTAGCGGTTGACCATTCGCGTCGTAAACTTTGCCGTTTTTGATGAAACTACTTTCAGGTGGTAAAACCCCTTGAGAGAGAGGCTTTCCATTGCGTCCATAAATCAGACCATCCTTAATGAAGTTACCGTCTTGGCCATAAATATCTTGGTTAAGATATCCTCCCGCATCATCATAAATCCTGCCATTTTTGACCACGCTACCCTCATTGTCAAAATTACCATACCTTAATGGTTTTCCATCATCACCGCAAACTAAACCGTAACGAACGGACGTAACAATAATTATGGCCTGTTTTTTATTTAATGGCTTTCCGTTTGGTCCGTGTAGTAAACCGTTTCGTATATAACTGCCGTCGTTGCCGAACGTACCATGACTAAGCGGTTTTCTATCCTTTCCATAAATAATACCGTTTTCAATAAAGTTACCTTCCGTACCGAACGAGGCATGATTCAAAGGTTTTCCATCCTTTCCATATAGTCTACCTTCCTCAATGTAGCTACCACCAGGTAACTCGGATCCCGCATTTAGCAATTGGCCTCCCCAGCCGTATATAAGACCATCTCGAATGTAACATCCATCTGGCTTGAATGCACCTTGCTTCAAAAGTTGTCCATTCTTGTCATAAACCACTCCGTCTTGTATGTAACATCCGTCGGGTACCAATGAAGGTAGATTTTTCGGATTCCCTTGATTGTCCACGATCTTTCCATTGTTAATCGCTATATTATCCGGACCTTTGTCGTCTTGCGTCAAGGGTTTACCATCTCTTCCTATGATAATGCCGTTTCGAATCGTGTTGCCATCGGGACCAAATACGCCTTGCAACACGATCCTACCATCTTTATCATAGATTAATCCACCTGCGACATACGAACCGTCGGATCCAAATGAATCTTTGCTCAAGGGCTTTCCCGAGTGGTCAAATATTACACCGTTAACGATAAAACTATCATCCGGTAAAGCTGCATTTAAATTTAATGGTTTACGGTCGCTGCCATAAACAAGACCATCTTTGATGTAACTACCATCTGGTTTAAAGAATGAGAACTTTAATAATTTACCATCTTTGCTATACACCTTGCCGTCTCTAATAGCTGCACCTTCAGGCACCAATGAATCTTGATTAAGTGGCTTTCCATTTTTTGCGTAAATGATACCTTTCTTTATATAGCTTCCATTCGAACCAAATGATTCGTGTTTTACTGGTTTACCATCTTTTCCTAGAACTGTGCCGTCCTTCACTACAAATCCATCAGGGCCGAGAGAAGCATTTGATAATACTGTACCATCCATATTATGTAATATACCTTCTTTAATTACAAGATGATCAGATTTAAACAGGCCTTGAGATAATGGTTTATTGTTTCTGTTGTGTATTAAACCGTCTTTAATGAAATGACCATCGGCTATTAATGGAATTTGACTTAGGGGTCTGCCATCCTTTCCGTATATCACACCATCTTTGACAAAACTACCGTTGGATTTGTAAAATGCATGCTTAACGGGCTTGCCATCTTTGCCAACTACTTTGCCATCCTTTAAGTGAGCACCGATTGGCAGCAAAGATCCTTGAGTCAAGAATTTTCCATCTTTTGAATAAACTATGCCATCTTTCATAATAGATCCATCAGAATTGAAGGATTCGTGTTTGACCAGTTTACCATCTTTCGAGTGAATCTTTCCCTCCGAGATGTAATGACCTTCAGAACCTAATTTGCCGGTATTAAGCAGCTTTCCATCTTGTCCATGTATCAAGCCGTCACAGATAAATGTGTCGTCAGGTACAATCGCAATCTGATTCAAAGGTTTGCCTTCTTCGTTACATACTATACCGGCAACTATATATTTTTCGTCTGTATCATACGATCCCTGAGTCATGGGTTTAGATCCCGATGTAAATATGAAACCTTCTTTCACGTACGTTCCATCTGCACCTAATTGACAATATTGAACTGGTTTGTTGCTCTTCAGTAATATCTTCCCTTCTTTGACCACCGCATGATCTGGTCCAAGAAAAGATTGTTTTACCATCTCACCGTTAGAAGAATAAATAATTCCATTTTTTATAGCATTTCTATCTGTGCCCAATATCTCCTGATGGAAAGGTTTATTATCTTTTCCGGTAATTATACCATTGCTGATGTGAATCCCATGTGGTCCGAAATCCGCCTTCTTTAATAGTTTACCATCTTTTCCACAAATTTTACCATCTATCACCTTGCTGCCATCTGGTCCGAGATGATTCTGATCTAATGGTTTACCTTCTTTGGTATAAATTATACCTCCAATAACTCTCGAGCCATCGGGAAGAGGAAGAATATGATAATCTGGTTTAGATTCCACTGGTACTGGTGGAATTACTACATGCTGACCGACTGAAGCATCTCCATGTTGTCGTTCATTATCGATAAAAGCTGTTGTTTGATCTTTCTCAATATTTGATTTCGTAGCATTTTTTTGCTGCTCCTTAAGACCAGCAGATTCGACGTAATTGAGTCCTGGTGTTTTTAACGTTGGCGCTTGTTTGTCTACCTCCTTCGTTTTTCTCTTTTCTGCAGATTCTGCCACCTTCTTTTCTTCTCCCGGAGCATAATTAAATGCTAAACCTGTAGCCTTCCGACTAGTTGAAGTAGGTGATGGCTGGTCCTGTATTCCCGGCGATGCAGGTCGGTATGTGAATCCATGTGGAATAAATGGCTTTTTTGTGGCTTCTGTTTCTTCGTAGTCATAAGGTTTTGTGTAACCAGGAAGTTGAGGAGATTTCGCTGGATCTTGAATTTTGTTCACGTCCGGTTTTTTATCAATTTCTTTTTCTGATTTTTCCGATGTAGAAAGATTTGATTCAACATCATTTTTGTCCATGGATTCATCGAGTTCTTTCTTTTTCTGTTTTTTATCCTTGTCCTTCTTGGTAAACAGGAAACCGCCGACAGGACTCTTGGATAATACACAAGATACATGCATACAAAATACATGCCGCATACGTGATATGTAATATATATGTATATACTTTATTTTATATTTAAAACTGATATACAAAACTGATATATATGTCTACATATAAATGCGACACCATGATTTTTACAGGAATACAAACTAATTGTCATGCAAACTTGAGCTATATAAATATGTATGTATGTATATTTTTACACACACACACACACACACACACACACGCGCGCGCGCGTAAAGTAAAAACTACACATTCTTAATGGAACATTCTTTCGATATTACTGTTGAAATTTGATGGAATATTTATTAAATTAATATTTAAAAATGATGATATAAATTATACATACATACATATATATAATTATAAATATCACTTATATAAAAAATACTTAAATTATTTTTCCTAATTCATACATATATTTTATACAAGAGCATAAAAAGCAGCAATGCGTACAACACAATATAAAGCTTACCTTAATTTTATCCTTCTTTTCTTTATCCATTTTTTCAGGGGTTTCTTTATCCTTCTTTTTTAATTCTTTTTTAGATAATGATTTGTCATCAATATTGTCAAGGTGTGCATTGTCATTAATCAGATTAGTGTTATTCAGATCATTATGATTTTCCTTTTCATTCTCATTCTGTTTATCCTTCTTCTTCTTTGATAGACCACCGGGCGGTAGGACAGCAATTCCTCCGACCGGTTTCTATAAGTAAATTTACCGAATCACACGTCGCTTCATGCAACAAGCATAAAGCCGCTACACACTGCTAAAATAATACTAAAAACTGCATAATACTAATTCTTTCTAAGAGACAATACATGCTCTACAGATTACGGTCTGCGCTCTCAAAATATGTATGTTAAAGTTATTATAATTGATTGTTAAGTGTTGAAATCTTTCTTACATAATACTAAAGTTTTAATTTAATAATTGATAATAATGTTACATTTAAATAGTATTCCTATTAAATAACAGTTAATCGTTATATTAATTTTACCTAAATCTCACTGAAATTTTCGATTGTTATAATGATATCTATGATTGATATCTTATGATTGATATAATGATCTCTACATGTAATTTTATTATCTACATGCTCATATTAGTAGCTCATATATTAGTAGTACAGCTAATATTACTGATTAAATGGGGTAAACTAACATCCCACATTGAGGCGATGGCCGTATATGATTTTTGCGAGAAAAATAAATAAGAAAGAAAAACATAGCAACATGCATTGGAAGAAACAAAACACCAAGTGGTCACATCACAAAAAAACAATGTTAATAAGTATACAATATGAATTGAAGCAGAAGTGTTCCAGGTAAAATTTTATACCTTTCTCCCACGATCTGCATCATATTCTCCTTCCAGGCTACTGGTACTGCTAGCTGATGTTGTTCCAGCGCTTGTTTTTCGTGTGAGCTATTAGGTGTTAGTTATGTGTCAATTAATAATAAGGATATCGATGCTCCAAAGAAAAAAAAAATATTTTTGTTAATCTTATATGTCTCTTTCTGATATACATTTATGGAATGTTACTAATGTATCGAATCTAATTTCACCTTTATAAAAATGTCGAAAAATACGTGATACGCAACTCTATAATGTGTCACATAATATAAATGATCATGCTTTTATTGCAACATATATTGCAATATGTATTAAATCCGAATCGATGTAATGTGCGTTCAAATTTATTGCAAATGCGTAGATAAGTCAATAAGTAATATCGCGTAAATCGATAGACGTATTTGTACAAGATTAGTAGATAATCATGTAAGAAAATATATGAATTTACTCCACTGACTCATCCATGCATTAGTGAGCCAATTGGTGTTCCGCGCGACTTCCCTAATAGAAATTTTTA